TGGTCCCGTTCTGACGATTCACCCGGACTTCTGGAACGCATCCACGCATCCTTGTTTGCGACCACACCAGCAGGGAACGCTTAAGTCTGTTTTGCGCGGTTCACTTGTTCATTGTCATTTCAAGACCTTGGTGGAATCCACAGTGTTGGGGGTAAACAAACATTTTTGTTGAGTTTACTGGTTCTGAACAGTGTTACTCCGAGCACCCGTCATACCGGAGTCATCCCACTTTGTCCACATGATCCTACGTGAGCTGATCACCAAACGCAGGGGATAACGTGATTTCTATGGGACTACTCTCCTGGGATCTGTGTGAGTATCTGAAGTAACAAAACAAGACTCTGATATCATTATTATTTGTGGTCGAAGTTGATACACGGATGGGGATGCCGATGAAGCGAAATAAGAACAAAGTCTCTCTAAGGGGACACGCAAACGTAATGTACAGAACTGCTGCCCGGGCCCATCAATTCTCAAGGCGGCAGACAGCCAGGCGTACAATTCACATTTGTCCATAATATGACGAAGTTGTGAAAACCGAACGGCCGAGTTATCGACCGATCCAGTCAACCCAACAGTAACAGCACAAGTTGGTTATCGGACTGGAGATAAGTCAACCACGTGGAACGTGCCTCATACTGATATGTGCGTGTGTGTGATTGGGAATTGGCTGAATCGAATGAAACTTGTACATGAACTGATTTGGAATTAGGTCAATACAGACACGTACAATCCAATTGCAGTATGTTGAACAAATCAATGTACAGACATGATTCGGTAATGCATTATACTGAATCTTGTCGGAATAACACTTGAAACAGATTAGTATGAAAGACTATATATGATTAGATGTAACACCGACTAATGCCCAGCGCGCAACCGAATCTCCATCTTGTCCGCGAAAAATTGCATAAAATGTTCCGAACAATTTAGCTGTGGAAAAACTAGGTGCCTTTTACCAATTATGAAACAATACCGATTGGTTTTATCTAAACCCTAACAAAAAACCACACTCTTTTTCCGGAAGTCCAGTGAATGTCAATAAATGATGATGTGCTGCTATGATGACATCTGATTCATGATACTCAGTGCAAATTTCTTTCGAGATGTACAACCTCATTGTGTTGTGCTATCTTTATGCATGCAGTACCGATGCGCAATCACGGAGGGGCATAAAATGATGCTTTCTTGCAAGACCCATTCACGTGATTAGACTTCAGGCAGTACAATGTCATCTGCTCAAATCCTGAAAGAAAACCCTATTAGACTTGTATGCTTTCATTTCTCCCTCGTGAGAGGTAATCGATATGACGAATCGTTGAAAGTCACTGCAGTCGTGCGTGTAAGCAGAGAATTCATTAACAAGCCTGTGAAGCACGGCGGCACAATGCTTTAATGGTTGCAGTGAAAACTACTCTATTTGTCGAGCCCGGACTATCGCATCAGGCATCCTGTCGACTTTTGCAATTCACTTATGCTGAATCGTCTCTAAACTTCTCGCTGGCATCATACTCCGCCGATTGTCTGCCGCACGCGAACG